TCATACACAGTACAAATAGTGTATGTCAGTTAAAAGGAAAGAGCAGTGAAAGCTGTGGACATAAAAACTGGGCAGAATATTTACCCGCTCCATGCTCTGTTGGTTGGAATGTATTCTTGAAAAAAAATCTTTCTGAAAAGCAATTTTTAAAATTCTATTTCTTGTAAGAAAATAATCAGAAATACAAGGAGGCGTGGATTAAAATGTTCATATTTGTATTGGTGAAATTTTTGAAACTACCAAGATAACCAACAATATCAAAGGCACTTAATAAATACCTGTGAGGTTAAACAAGCCTTCTTATTTACCCTTGTCAGATCTATTAGTTGTTGGATTAACAGAAAATCTTCAGTGGAGTAGGAAATCATTTAACTGATAGATACTTGCTTTATGTATTTGATGCTTACTGTACATATAAAAGGTCCACTTTTTGTCAATTTTTGATGGAAATTGATGATGACCTCTTGATGACCTTTCCTAAGAATATGATTCTAATAATTGTCATGCCCATTAAATATGGTAGGCAGTGTCTGGCTTCAGTTTCTTTAAAATAAACTGAGAGTCCAGTGACATCTACCAAGCATTCTGAGTGTGTGTTTCTTCTAGATTAGTATTACTTTTTCCTGGTGTTTTGCCCGTGCCTAATCCAACAGCAAAGTTTTTAATCACTGACCTATTTCGACTGCAATTCTGTAAGCCTTTCTGGAGACTGGTACTCAGTTCTGTGTCGTATGGTAAACAGTTGCAGTTTTGGACACAGGCATTGTATAACGTGAGATGTGTTTTAAAGAACCACTCTGGCTTCTCCGCCAACGGACTGCAGAGGGAACAGGATTTGTGCACCTTACATTCTGTGATCATTTCAATACAAAACAGTGGCAGCTCTCTAGTGTACAGAGGCATCTATAGAGGCATCGAAGAAAACCAGGAGGAGGAGAAAGTTCTTCAAGGTGTGTAGGGAAGACACAAAAAGTTAGAACCAGGATAGTTCCTAAAGATGACTTTGGTGTTTCTGGGGTTTTTTTTCTATGTATCTAATTAGTTCCCAATCATACAGGTACATTAGAATTTCCTGGGGAGTTACAAAAATACTATTGCCTAGGTCTTATCCCATATATACCAATGCAACTGGCCTGGAAGGAGCCTGAACTTCATTATTTAAAAAAGAAAAAAAATTCCAGGTGACTTTAAAGTGTGTCTAACATTAAAATCAATGGCTTTCAAATCTTTTTAGATTTTATGCTCAAGTGGTCTTGAAAAACTTGTGGCTGGTGGCCTTCACTATATAGGACAAACCCAACAGAAATTCACCTGACACCTATGATCTTATTGTCTTAAAGGAGGGCAGTTGAGTGGACTGTTTTCAGAATGAGTCTGAAGCCAGGGTAACTTACCTCAGACAGAAGTAAAATGATATTGTTCATGTTCCAGATAGATTAGGAATCCTAAGGAAGCACAACTTAGGATAACAAGTCCAAGCTTAACTTTCCCATGGGACAGTGGACCATGCAGTATCTCTCAGAGATGCACAAGGTCCTCCCACAGCCTACATCTCTGTTGTCATGGTTTTGCTGAATGCACACCACTGGAAGCTACGAATTACTCCTAGGGTGCTTTGCAGAATGCAAATACTTTATTTGTGGCTTGCAGTAGATAGCTTTTAACATAGCCTCCTGTGACCTCCTCTTCTGGTAGACATGCCCTTGCATAATATCCCCCACTTCACTGTGAGCAAAAGTGTCATCACACTAGAGATTAAATTATTTTTTAAAACTACGGCTTCCATTTGGGGCCCTTTCACACTCTCTGACTCCTTGCTCCATGGAAAACAAACTTCCTGTTCTAAGCGGTGTTACAGAGAGGACTTGGGAAAGAGGTGATGATCCAGAGAGCAGCCAGCAAGGCCCTGACCAGCCCTTCTCTGACTGGAATGCTGAGATACGTGACTGACTTTCTGAGGAACTCCATCCAGAGACACCAAGCTGACCCACATACCCAGCTTCCAGAACCACACAAACTGAGATCATACATATTTGTTGTTTTATGCCATGATGTCTTTGTTACACAGCCACAAATAACTAATACATGGCTGGACTCATCAAGAGAAGTGCTTGTCATCTTCAAGCTGGAAGTTATTATTCACTTCACATTTTAATTATTAGGATGTCAGCGCTGATGGTGTAAAAGAAAGCAAGTGTGCACAGGTTCTTCTAAACTCAACGATGATGGTTTGGAAATGGAACCACCTAAGAATCAGGAAATGAAAGAAAAACAAAGAGGCATCTTCTCAGGCAAGATTAAATGCATGGTTTCTTGACCAGCATGGTTTGAGAAGGCAGAAATCAGGACCCACTGGGGAGATACCAGGATTTTATTATTTCTTCATGTCAAATCTCCTCAACTCAAGACAAAATAAATGTGCTTGAGAAACCACTTAAAGCTGGAGGGTGGGTGATAGTATACGACAGCCCAAAGGTACAAAACACCTTCATCGAAGGCAGAACTTTGTTGAATAAATATGGTGACATGAAGTGCAAAAAAAAGCAATAGAATCAAAAATAGCCTAACAGCAATCCTGAGCCAGTTAGGAATGAAGGTTTAATGAACTAGTTTATGTAGAGATATATCTTAAGTGAGATCTTAAGAACGCTAACCAGAGAGACCAAGTAATAGGCATTTTCCAAAAGCTCTGTTTTAAGTGATCATAGAAATGTCAAGGCTGATAACCATCTGATACCCACACGTGAGTCACAGTGGCCTGCATCCGTGTGGTAGATCAGTACATTCTGATTGCTAGTTACCACCTAGACTGGCTGTTACATGTCTTCTGTGTCAGTCCTGTACATAGTGAACTTAACTAAGTTTGGGGGTTTTTTTAGCCCTCGGTCATGAGTCAAGTTGCACTGTGGGAGGTGGAAGATCTCTTGTGTCTCATGCATGCCCAAGCAGATGGCAGCGAGGCAGAGGTGTGGGGAAGCCTTGGGATAAGCCTCGTGTGTTCTTCTGAAACACTGGTTTCACTCCTGGGTGTTAGAGACGTTTTCACATTCAAGCAACCCAAATGTATTTTGGAGTAAACTACAAAAATCACATGCATCTTAAGAGAAAAAATTTCTAGGAATTCTGTCTTTGGTGAGCCTCCTTGTATTTCCTGTACTTTCATTCATACTTATACTATTGTAAGGATCTCAATAGAAAATTGTGCCAGGTGTGGTAATGCACACCTGTAATCCCAGCACTCAGGAGGCTGAGGCAGCAGGTTCTCCATGAACTCGAGGCCAGCCTGGGCTACATAATAATGAGTTGAAGACCAGCCTGGACTACACAGTGAGAGCCTATCTCAGAACAACAACAAAAAATTTGTGAGAGGCACACTTTCAGGGCATTCGTGATTTCAGGGTTTGTTTTTTTGTTTACTGTTGAGCTCCAAAGTGAATCTTTATGTTCTTTTGTGCTCTATAAAGACCCAGAAGGGAAAATGCTGAGTGAGAGAAACTCTTCCGAATTTATTTCTAGTTTCTCTTCTCTTCTGTCATTACCTTGAATTTGTAACCAACTCAAAGGCTTTGTATATCATGGCTTACCTCTGTCACAATGCACTGACTGCACTTTGTGTTCTAAGTAATTAGGTGTCGAAAGCATCTTTAAATTACTGCATGGAAAGTATCTTTTGTATTACTTGTTTTGTTAAAATTTCATATTATTTCAATTTTTTTCTTTCCTTCTTGTTGGAAACTTTTCTACTTTCCCTCTTAAAGAGCACTTTCGACAGGTTCTTATAAAGATATTTTTAACAACAAACATTTTTCACTTGTAAATTAAGGGGTTCATGTAAAAGTTGAATAGGAATCAGGATTATGAATGGTATCATTTCCTTTCTCTCTTGAAGTCAAATCATCACATTGTAGATAAAACATTGTATATGAAGACGCCAAACTGATCACATTTGTTTACAAATGTAAAGACCGCGTCTCTATAGTTACACAAAACAAAAAAAGGAAGCGCTAACTAGTAATCGTATAACCTAGGAAGCAGATGACAAGTGACCTAGGATCTTGTGACTTCTGCATCCATCCGGCCGTACGTCCTTGGATACATCAAAACCTCAGTTTCCTCATGAATAAGGAGCATAAAGTCCCCATAGAGTTTGGAGATTCTGAGCATACGTAACTAAAACAGATTTTATTTCCCAAAATTTGCATGATGAACTAAAAGTGCTTCTAGAAAGACTTTATAGCTGACTTACAGTACCATGAATGGAATTATCACTAAATATTAGTTTTTGCCTAATAGCACTGCTGTATAATTTGATGGTGGTTATTGCTCATTTTATATGTACAGACACTAATTCTGTTTAAATTTCTGCATTTTGTGTTTCACTTCAGTGTGTGCATGTGTGTGTGTGTGTGTGTGTGTGTGTGAAGACTGAAGGCAGGACCTTAACATTGAGCCCAACCCTTTTTGAAAATTTTTTTATTTTGAGACAAGGTCTCACTAAGCTGCCCAGACTGGACTTTCCTACCTCATCCTCCCAGAGTGCTGGAAACCTCAGCTTTTAAAAATGAAGTGAGATTAGTATCATGACAAATCTTCTCTGATATTCAAACATGGAGCGGTTTTATGTAGAAAACTGATTATGCACAAACACTCTGCTAGGCTCAGAGGAGACAAATATGAAAACCTAAGTCGTCCTCTGCCATCCGTGTGTTCACACGGCTCCTAAACCCAGCCAGGAACCCAAAGTGGCAAGACCCTTGACTCAGGTAAGCTTCAGCTTGCCAGTCCTGGCGCCTTCCTGGAGTGCATCTGGGGAAGGGCAGTTCTTCCTAGCGTCCTGCAGCCTGGTCATGCAGGTGAACCACGAGGATATCAGGTGACTGTTGTTTCTGGGGACAAAGCTTTTCCATAAAGTTCTCACCCATAAGTGTGTTACCAAATAGTATTTAATAGAATGTAAAGAGACTTGAATGACAGACATTTTGAAATGAAAACCACAATGATTAGCATCACAACCATTTAATTTGGATAAATGTTGACTTCCCATTTGTGAACATATAAAGTGCTCCCCACATCTTCCCGTGAGAGGATTCTGAAGTGGACGTTTACCTCTCCAGTCAGCCTGGCGTCCGGCCTCACCTCGAGGCCTGGGGGTGCCCAGGGCCCTGTATGCCTACTTGAGTCCCAAATAGAGGACACTATGCTCTGGCTCCCTAACAGCGAAATAACTGCCTTCATTTGCATGGTAGATATTTCTGGAGATTAGAAAACTACATTTGCATAGTTTTTTAAATATGACGCTTTTCTACTTACACACTCAGCGTCAGTGTTTGAAATCCTGTAACTTCTTTTTATCTGGAATGATTTTACTTATATGATCTGGTTTAGCTGGCAAGAGTATTGCGGCAAAGCATTTCTTGCATATTTACATTGTTCCCTGTGAAAACCTATTGTGAGCGCTGCTGCAGGCTGTCATTCTTGTCTGCCATCCAGGGTCTATGGCCCGATCACTGTGTTCTAGACTTGGTGTCGGTCACAGAGGGGAGGGGGAATCTGCCGCTGAGCCAGACAGTTTTGTTATTCCTTTAAAATTAAAAGCATATGAAACAGATACAGCTTATTATGGTTGTTGTTTTTTATAAATAACATAAACTTAAATAACAAAACAATAAAGTTCAAATACAACTTAAAAAAGAGTTTAATGCTGTAACCACAGAGAAAAAGCATGATTATTTGTGGGAAGAACATTATTAAAAGCCATATTCCCAAATATGAATTATACAAAAGAGAGATTATGTTACTTAAAAAAAACACTTAATGATTTCTGAATTTTACTTTTAGGAAGTATAAAATGTTACTTTGTGGCAAGTGAGATGAAGTACAGTATTATCAGCATTACTGCGATTTTATATACAAGATTGTAGAAAATAGCCTTTTAGAAGTACCTTTTCAATCTGAGCAGTATTAGGAATTTTGTTCTTGTTAATAGGTACATGCATGCCCTAAGCCTATAATTTTGTAAAATTACCTGTTTGATTTAATTCAGTAGAATTTTTTGAGAATAGTCCTTTTTTTCTGATTAGGGCCTAAGTTCCTGATTGCCGTAATTTTTCACTGAAAAGCACTTGGCGTACTGCTCGTCTTTCATAGCGTTGGCTTGATTATCTGACACATCTTTCCAGCAGCCTTTAGGTCCGACATCTCTCATATAACACCATCTGCATTATTCTCATTATTATAGCAGCCATTTTATAAGCAGATAGGAATACTTAAATAATCATCAGATAATTGAATCTAACATACTCTAAGGGTAAATTAACTTAAGAGAAAAACATTACTATTACTAACACCATGATTGTACAACCAGTTTTACAATTTTTTACAACTTTTAGTTACTAAATCTGATTTTTGTGTATATTTTTCAAATCTTTCTTTAATGCAGTCTCTTAAAATAAACATAAATGCGCAAGTCCAGCTTGATCAGTTTTTCAGTAGTTTTCCAGCCTTTCTTGGTTACAAAAAAAAAAAAAAAAGAAAGAAAGAAAAGAAAAAAGAAAGAAAACAGTCCACTTAAAGAAATCTCCCTGCTGGAACTGGTTTCTTGTACGCCACCTATGATTAGGTTATTGCCATAGGAAGAAAGTGAGCTGTTTTTTGTTCTTTCTTCGTTTTCTTCCCTTTTACAGGAAGCCCCCTGTGGCTTAGGGCGACAAACATTTCTCCTCCACCGTGTGTCCATTTGGCGGACGCGTATGTGTTGTAGTGGTTTTCCAGAATTAATTCTTTGAAGTTGCAGTCTTCGTTACATTCTTTCTGTTAAAACAACAAACGGCATGAGTTCCAGGGGGTCTCAATTAAACAGAGAATAAGCAGAAAGCAGGTAATTTTGGGTAGAGTCAAAGCCTAGATGACTTTTTTTAAAACCGCAGATCAAGTGAGCCTAATACAGTTTATTAGCTATATCTGCATAGGGGATTTTTTGGTCCAAGCAAGACATCTTAAATTTAACATAAAGCAAAAAGGATCATATTTATGTAACATGATTTCAAAAATGTCACTTTTTGCCATCAGTTTCTACTGTTCTTTAGTTTTAGGACCAAGTTCCCCCTAACACCTATGGTAGTGCTTCTACTGCCATCTCAGGTCAGGCATTCGCTAGCCCCTGGAAATGCGGTGTAGGACCTCTGCCACCCGCGGGCAAGGGACCCATTTCACAAGCTTTTCTTCATGTACTACTGCCTTGCCTTCAACAGGAACAGAAAGTTGGAAGTTATTCATTCATCTATGCAGTTCAATTCTCATTCATTCAATCTATATTCCTATATAATTTGTGTCGGGCATTGTGCTGAGCAGAAAATTAGAGGTGAATTTCTTTATTAGTCTATTCAATTGAATTCATTGCACCTATATTCTTATGTGATTTCTTTGTGCCAGGCGTTATGCTGAGCTATGCATAGGAAATATAATTATACTTTACTACACTGGGGTGAACTGTTACACATTTCACATTGTAATAAAGTGGAAATAATGTGAATGCTTACAGTTCAAAGCCCGTTATTGTGAGACTCATGTTGAGAAATGAACTGAATGCTTCAGGGGCTTTTTTCCCCAAGAATTTTCGTGTCAGCAATGTGTAAATTGAGTGAACTCTAACAAAAAGAGCTTTAATACGGACAGAAATTTTGGATGTCAAGATTCTAAAACGCACATGGAAGTTTGGAGCTAAAAGGACCCTTAGAGTTCAGTTGTTCCAATTCATTCCACAGGTGAAGAAACCAAAGTCCAGATAGCTCAAGCAGTGTCCCCAGTTTCCACTCAGAAAACATTTATTCTTAATGCTTTAATAAGAAATGTTTCAATGAAATTATCAAATATTACCATTAGAAAGAAATTAACTCCATTTTTTTTCCTTTCAGAAAGGCAAGATGTTTTTAAGAAAAAGAACCTGGAAAAATTAAGTCTATGCTATGAATTATAAATACCTTTGCATAGAGCTTTCCTTCCTTGTTCATTGCAAGATAATATTCACTTTCCACCCCTTTGATTGCCACAATTCCAACTGCCACTGTTCTGATTTCCATGATATCTGGAAGGAATCACAGAAAGGTGTACCAATTATTCACTCACTTTGCAGATTGTCCAACAAAGACCATTTGCTCTTACTTCTGTTTTACCTGGAAGCTGTTCAGATTATTAAAACTCAACTTGAGGCTCCCTTCCCTTAGCACAGCATCAGAGCAGTGACTAAGATGGAACGTGCAGACTGATGAGTTCCCATTCTGTAGAGAAAGAGATCTGCACTCAAAGAAAAAGATCTCCAGATTCATTCTGCAGAACTGCATTTTAATGTACTGTAATAACAGCAATAGCTGGTGTTTATTAGACGCATGCCGCATGCCAAGGATTGTTCAGTACTGTTGTGGAGTTTTGGAGCGAGGACAGGGGCGTTTGCCCAGTTTATTTCAAGTCAAATGACTTGTTTGAGAACTGACAAACTAAGATATCAATGTTTTTCAGATCCACTTCTATTTACTTTCTTTTTTATTTTATGAAAAAAAATTTGTAACAAAATAATAAAAGAATAGCAAAAGTTAATATACTGTGTATCATTATCTTCAAAATAGCTACTCAGAGATTTTTTAAAAAGATTCTTATAGCAAATAAACAGAATAGCACAAAACTTTCTTTTAGTGAACTAAGAGAAACTAGAAGTACAAATAAAACGAATTAGCATATATATGAAATGATTTTTGGCACCACGGAATCAGTGATTTGTGTATTAACTCTGCATATCATCACAGACTACAAAACAAGTATACTTGTTATCCTGGTGTCATAGATCAGAAAACTGAGGTACAGGGTAGTTAAGTAATTTGTCAAGCTTTTTCAGCTGCTGAGTGACAGGATTGGAATTCGAATCCAGACCGTCTGATTCTCAATCATTATTTAAGACTGCGAATGCTATGTAATAAGCTAACATTTTGTACTCTCCTGTTTGGTTAAACTTTATCTGAAAAATTATTGCTGACACAATAGTTCCTTAATATACTGAAAATGAATAAAATTCCAATTAAAGTGATTGTAAATGTTAGTAAACAGAGCCTACTGCCTCAAAGAAGAATGTGTTTAAAACTTTTTAGTACTTTAAAAGAACATTTAAAACAAAACTGAGCCCTGTTTGCATAAAATTTTATAGCTTTATACCTGTCTAACTAATTTTTTTTTTGTCTTTTTGAGACAGGGTCTCACTATGCAGTTCAGGTTGGCCTTGAGCTCACTTTGTAGCCGGGGCTGGTCTCCTCCTGCCTCAGCCTCCTGAGTGCTGGGATTACAGGTGTGTACCACCACACCCGGCTCTAATTAATTTTTAGGTTTCTGAAATCCAAAAGTTAAAACATAACATAACTAGTAAACACATCTCTATTTAAGGTATATCTATATTAAATTAAGGTATATCTATACCTTAATTTAAAAGAAAGGTTTTTGGCAAGCACAGGCCTGGAAAGCTATAGGAAATTCTAGCAATTGCAAACCCAGGAGAATCATGATACTGACGCCTCCGCAGAACATTCAACAGATCTTCATGAGCCAGTTGTATGCCTGGCTCCATTCAGGCAAGTGCCCTACCCCTCCTAAACATGCTGATCTGATAACTACTAATAACTAGAACTCCTTGTCGTTTTCATTAAGGCAGGAACAAAGGGAAATATTATGCCATATGGCAGAATCCCATTACATCAAATCTGTACCAATACAATGAGTAATCCTGAAGAAATTCAGTGATTCAACATATCTCAGTACCTTCAAATTGAATTAATCTATATTTAAGAACACATGAAATAGTTGATCTCTAGTAATCTTACAACTGTAAAATTTTAAGTCAACATTTTCCTTGCCTTCAAATCCCTTTACTCCTGTCATTCCTCCCTTTATTCAATATTTTATTTCTTTTAGATAGAAAAGAGAATGTTATGCAAAAGCTTAGAGTATCTTTTATGATCAGATCCAGAATGTAACTGTTGAGTAAGGGCTACCATTAACTGTGACCTGTGATCTCATGCCCTTAGATCTAGGACCTAATCTGACAATATGTTCATATTGTTCTACTCTCAAAAACTTTTCCTCTGTCCTTGGCCTGACCACCAACAACTAATTCTTCATTCCACTTTAACACACAAGAGGTGATAAATATTATTAATCTTATCCTGCTGCATTAGGATTATGGATACTAAAAAATCTTTGTCATGATTCTACCTTTAACTGGGATGAGAATAGACTTGAAATGTCTGGGTTCCTGTGTTCTTAATTGCCTGTCATATTTTTTAGAAATTCTTTCACACTGAGAAATCAGCATATCTACAAGTTGTTGCTTGGGAGAGCATTAAGCAGTTGTAGGAGTCAATACCCCATGAACCTTGATTTTCTGTTCTGTTTAGCCCCATGTTCTATATCCGTCGTTTTAAAGGAGAAAAGCCAGAGATGAAGAAATTAATGCTACCGCTTTTTGTTCCGGTGCAGAGTGGAAATTGAGGCTCCTTTTGATATCCACAAACATCTGTGGAAGTATTAACTACGTAAGCTAATGGAGCCAGGGACTTGCAGAGGAGACACAATATAGTAATATGCAACATGCAGACATTAAGTTGGCTACAACATAAGTTAATTAAACAGTACTTGGTGCTGTCTCCTATAAGACTAATATAAGAGCTCATCTTTTTCTGTGGATCTCTATTTCTGTTTAAGAGAAATGTCTTCTGAGAGTGCTCAGAGGGGATATATTTCCAATTAGTTAAGCATATTATGAAGAGGCATCGAAACATAATATTAGAAGTTGTTGGTGTTAACATAATGACTGTGCTAACATTATGGGTAATAGGAGAGGGGGGAGGAAGGAAAGAGAGAGACAGATAGACAGACAGACCAAGGTGGAGACGGAGATGGAGATAGAGACAGAGCAGCTCATACAGCACAACCTGAAAAGGGACAATATGTAAAGCAGTTTGACCATTTAGCCTTGTCAACAATAGTGTCAAAAATAGCATAAATTCACTATTTAGGATGTCACTCTTGCAAACTAGATAATATACCCTAACTGGCTTCCCTGTTTATTTCCTGTGGTTCAAGCATTCATTTACTTATCCAAGACTTTTTGTACCCCCCCCCCGGAATGAGAAGTACAGAACCTTAGGGTAAATTGCTATTACATTTTAAAGAATTCTCCAACATCTGCTTCCATAATTTTACATCTTCCCCTGAGCTTGTACTTTGAAGATTGATGCTAATTCTGTTTTTATGGCCAATAACTATGATTCAAAAGTTCTTTAACTTTCCCATTTGAAAAAAATTTACTGCCTTGTTACACAGAAATCTACCTTCCTATTCAAGCATATTGAACATTTCTTTTCTCTGAATTTTCAAATTTTATATTACAAGTTCAAGGGGAGCATATATGTTCCGACATAACTATTGTTTTGAAGTTGGAGAAAGGAGACATAGTTGTTTAATGGTTAAACTGAGAACATTTAATTTCAACCAAGTATACTTTCTTGGGCGCATTAAAAAAAAGAACTGATATCAACAAAGAAAAAATATTTTTAATGTTAAATGATTTTCTCTGAAGCCTAGATCATTCAGTGGAAAATCTTAGCCATCATATATTTATGTTACATTTAAGGCTACAGATGTCATTATTTTTATATCAAAAAATATATCCAACATCTCCAAAGCACACAAAGAACTCTTAAAAGACAGTAAGGAAAGAGACAAAAATGGGCAAAACATCTGAACAGACACCTTTACCAAAGAAGACAGGCAGATGACAAATACATGAAAAGATGTTCAGTGCATGTCATCATGGAACTGCAGATTAAAACAATGAGGTATCGCTGTACAACTATGAAAATAATTAAAATCTAAAACATTGACAGCACAGTACTAGACACTGACAAGGATGCAAAGCAAGCCACACGTTGATTCACTGCTAGTGAGAATCTTAAAAAGAGCCCCTTTACTGTACAATCTAGCATTTGTGCCCCTAGATATTTACCCTATTCAGTAGAAAACCTCTGTCTGCACAGAAATCTGAACATAAATGGTTTTATAGCAGCTTTATTTATATCACTGAAAACTAGAGACAACCAAGGCATCCGAGTAAATGGATAAACAAACTGTGTTACATTCACACAAGGGGTGTTAGTTAGCATTTTTAAAATGAGCTCTCAAACTGCAGTAAGATATGGAGGAGGCTTAAATACATATTTCTGGGTGAAAGAAGCCAGTCTGAAAAAGCAGCATATAATGATTCCAACCATGGGATGTTCTTGCAAAGGCTGCAGATAGTAATGACATCAGGAGTTGCCAGGGGCTGGGGAGAAGAGGTGCAGAATGAAACAGTGAATCACAGTGGTTATTTAAATCTATGAAACACTGTATAGGACACTGTAATGGTAGATTCATTATTTTTGCACATATCAAACTCACAGACCTATGCAAGGCAGAGCGAACTTTTCTTTTTCTTTTTCTTTTTCTTTTTTTTTTTTTTTTGGTACCGGAAATAGAACTCAGGACCTTGTGCTTGTCAGGCAGGTGCTTGTGCCGCTGAGCTATATCCCTGGTCCAGGCAGAGTGAACTTAATGTGAACTATACACATTTGTTAACAAAATGTATCCAATACTTGTTCATGAACTGTAACAGATGTACCACATTCACTCAGGATGTTCCTAATAGAAGAGCTATGGGAAAAAACGGGGATGGAATATGAGAACTCTACTACTCTGTAAATATAAAATGGATCTAAAAAACAAAGTCTGTTAATTTTTTTAAGTAGTCTACATTTTTATTAATAATATATAATGATTGATAATGTAGAATTTAATTTAATTTAATTGATAATGTAGAATTTATAAATGTAGAATTTATATACTTTATATAAAGTATATAAAGAAGCTACATGGTTTTTTAATGACTTATTCTTGTCCCAAATATGTAGAACACATGGAATTTATTATTTATTACTATTAATAATGCCTTTGGTGATGGATTAAGATATGTTTGCCAAATGGATAACTTCATTTTGTGACAGAGAT